TGTGGCACCAGACTAAAATAGAAAGTACAGTAAAAGTAAAATGAAAAGGTGATTATGTAATAAAGGAAGGAGTGTTGAGAGCTACACTGGAATAGAAACTGCTACATAAAGGGGGGGGGGTTGAACTATAAATAGTGAATTGTCGAATAGGTCGATAGTTATAAGTTGTAGATGAATACAAAAAGTTGGAGTAGCGGTAGCACCCCAGCTGTGCTAAGCGCATTGACAGCGTTGTAGTATGTCGTCGCGAAGTCTGAGCGTAGTTTCAGTTGTGAGAGAGACGTGCTGGCCCGACCGAGTGGTTCTTTCTTCACCCCAGTGCGAAGCAGGTCGAGTGATCCGCATTCCTTCAGGTGACTTCAAACGATTTGGCCAAGGCTGTGAATGTCCGTGACTGCGAACGTGACAAAGGCATTCTCGAAGTGCTGAATCTTCGCAGTGGCGCAAAAAGGATACACGGAGACGTGAGTATTATGCTATTTTCAGTTAAGTGACGAATGAAAACTCACAAAATGCAGTATCAAGGCCGGGCCAGTTCGTCCTCTCATTGTGATGTGCCGTAGTTTCAGGGACCAGTTTGTGACGTATGGCTCCGGAGTTCACTACCTATATGACCATCGTGACCTGGGCTTCAGGTAACTTGTTTTATTTATAATACATGATATTCACAGCAGTTTCTAACGGCAGCCATCGATCTGTTTGTATGGACAAGGTCGAGTGGTTAACACTGTTGTCAGTTTCATCAAGTTGTAGATATGTTGCTAAGGGGACGGGTTTGAGTAATCTTTGTTTTCCTGGTGTACAGTGGAAGCTGTAGGGCGGCGTGCGCAGTTTTAGTGGCTTGAGGCCGCGTTCATATTTTATGAGTGAGGGGTAGCCCCGTTTCAAGAAAATTGACAATCAAGTAAGATATGTATGTCGAATGCGCGAATATGCCTTTGAGACTTCCACTACTTTGTCGCGGATTCTCCATGGTCGCGTTACTCCTTATTCGCAAAGTATGGACGCCGTTTAATATTTAGAAAAACAGTCCAGGGGTGTAACTGCATGGCTGGGTACAGGCAAAAGCCAGATGTCTGTCGATAAGTGCGTATTCTTGCATGCTCAATTGGAGCTGACACTTCCATTAAACGGAAATGTGTAAAGAATACTTCGAGAAGCGAGATCGCTCTGTCATGAGAGT